CATGTCCATCTCTTTATGTCCTCAGTGAGTCCACATCCCAAACCAATAGAGCATCTTTGGGATGTGGTGGAACAGAAGATTCCCGTTGTGTGCAGCCGACAAATCTGCAGCAACTGCGTGATGCTGTCATGTCAATATGGAGCAAAATCTCAGAGGAATGTGTCCACCGACTTGTTGAATCATGATGAATTAACGCAGTTATGAAGGCAAAAGAGCCGTACGTTGGTATCCAGACAGCCATCTTTTTGAATTATGTCATAATGTTATTGTTAACTTATGAAACTAAAAGGAGACCCAGAACTGTTGATATAAAATTTTATGTCAATTGGTTTTCAAAGCAGAAATTGGGCTTCTTTTAGTTTTGTCATTAAAAAGTGGTTTCAGAAGAGTTTTATTATTAAATAGTTTTGATGTGCTTGTTAGTAGCTGCAGTCCTAAAAGGGGATGTCTAAGTATCTCAGCCTTGATCTGATTGCCATGTGTATTTGCCTGCACAGACAATGTGATAGCTTGGTATTTCTTCTCTGGATTTGGACTAACATCTGACAGATGAACAACATCAGACTTTTCCAGGAGTTAAAAACAGACACTCGTTGAGCGTTTTAGCCCTCATCATAGCATGCCCCTGTTGCCATGGCACACACTCTGTTGATATGTCACACCCTTTTAATGGAGGAACAGGAAGTGGGGATAAAGATAAAATCTGGCATCTGATGAATGGACGAGCAAGTTAATCACCTTCACAGGTCAGAGGAGGGGGGAACCCTACATCTCCAAGTCAGGAAAGAGGAAGACGGGGTTAAAGTGATAAATTAGGGATGAGTGGGGGGGTTAGGTTAAGACTGATTCAGAGACTGATCACTGTCCTGTCAAGCATGGTAGAACTGGGGCGTCCAGCTTGTGAAGTATCTGCATGGTGCTTCAGTGCAAGCAGCAGAGGAAATGAAAGTCATTACTGTCACTGTGGAGTGAGCTTCATGGCCCAAACGGGATTAGACGGTGCATCCGACATTGTTTCTATACATTGTTAGACTTAAAAGTCAAGCGCAAAATGGGATTAAAACGAGGGGAAAAAACCAATAAATAACCTCCAACACGCTCCCCCCCTTTGCCTCTTTTATTTCTTCTCTGTCTTCCCTACCTTCCAGTTCCCTGCCTATTTCATAGTCTTTTCTCTTTCACCTGTCTCACGTCCCCTTTTCTGCTCTCTGGGATACGTTTATCTTTCCCTACTTCTGTTCTTTTCACACACTCCTCCCCATCATCATAATTCACACGTAGGCGCAGACTCCCACTTGCACTTTACATTCTCTGTTTTGCAAATAAAAAAAATAAAAATAATACATCCTTCTGGGGCCAATTGGTGCTTGAAATCCAACTTTACTCCCCTCAAACTGAACCCTTTCAAAAACAAACCCCCTCCACAACTCGCACTCTTTTTCCCCTCCCTTCCTCCTCTTCCTCTTTCAAAACAGCCCCATAACAAACTGGTGAATTGTTGCCCTTCCTTAACTTTTAAGGGTATTATGCACCATGTCCAACTTCAAAGCCTGTCTTAACTCCACACTTTAATTGTATCTTCCCCAGCTCGCTGCATGCTATTTGATTCTGCTGACAACAGCACTTCTCCCACCGTTCTTCTCCATCGTTCTCCACCTTTACTCATCTTGGTCCTTCCTTAAGTTGTGTGTGGACACCTTGCACCACCATCAACACTGCTGCACCTCTCTCATCAGCTTCTTGCTTCCTTTAGAGACCATTGCCCCCCCAGTTGTCACCTGCTTTGAAGAGGTGGCCTCCATTTCCTCTCTCGGCAGTCGCTTGTCGCCTGGAGTGTGTACACACCAAACAAACTTGAAACAGTAACCCCCTGTCCTACATTGGTTAGCCTCTTTATCTGTTCTCTCTCTCCCTCTCTGTCTGTGAGAGCTGACTTACACCTCATGGCCCTGGTTGATAATTGCCGTAAGCTTCCCTCTTGGTTTCATTTTCCATTGTCCTCCCCCAAATTCTTGGCTCTGGCTTGAGATAAAGGGATGAGTACTTCAAAGGGGTCTGCAAAGAGTTTAACCCCGAGCCGAAAAGGAACAGCACACAATACTGTAATTGAGAGCAGTTAGTGATCACAGAGCTTCTGCGCAGAGAGGACAGCACCGGTGGACTCGCACACACTCTTAGTGTTTATAGCTACAGCTGAAGTGGCCATCAGCAGTTGGGGCAGCCCAAGGCTACTCATAACCCATCCATAAAAAAAAAGAAAAACTTTCCTGTCCTCTAAAGTTAAATTCAGTTTTATTTATATGGCACCAAATCACAACAATAGTCGGCTCAAGGTGCTTTATATTGTAAGGCAAATACAGTAACACAGAGAAAACCCCAACAATCAGACGACCTCCTATGAGCAACCGCTTGGCGACAGTGGGAAGGAAAAACTCCCTTTTAACAGGAAGAGGAGAGGTAACCCATCTGCTGTGACCGGATGGGGGTAAGGGGGGGGGGGAACGATAAGATAAAAGATTCTGTGAAAGAGCCAGAGATTAATAATTCATATTAAATGCAGAGAGGTGTATAAACACATAGTGAGTGAAGAAGAAACTCTCAGCAGGCGACGCTTATTCAGCATAATTAAGGGAGGATTCAGGGTCACCTGATCCAGTCCTAATTATATGCTTTATCAAAAAGCTCATTTTTTAAGCCTAATCTTAAAAGTAGACAGAGTGTCTCCCAATCCAAACTGGGAGCTGATTCCACAGAACAGCGGCCTGAAAGCTGAAGGTGCTGCCTCCCATTCTACTTTGAAATATCCCAGAAAGTAAACCAGCACTCTGAGAATAAAGTGCTCTACTGGTGTGATATGGTACTATGAAGTCTTCTAGATAAGATGAGGCCTGATTATTCAGGACTTTGTGTGTGAGGAGAAAGATAAAGTAAATTTAAAGTTGATTCTGGATTTAACAGGGAGCCAATGAAGGGAAGCCGATATGGGAGAAAAATGCTCTCAGTCTTTCATTTGTCAGAATGTTTCCCATCAAATATGACTTAAGGTGAAGTATTGAGATCCATGGTGCGCATGGAGAGAAAAAAGCAGTCAATATTAAAGAAGTAATGGGCTTACACCTGATTTATGTGACTCCCCCTCCCTCCCAATCCAACCGTCTCTATTTATAGAGCTCTTTGTAGCAGGTCTGAATTTGACCTGTCCCTGTAATAATATCTGCCCATAAAGAGAGACAGTTACATCCCATAACCTCTCCCCTTGAAGCCTCTCTTTTCAAAGATCTTTTTATAGGAGACAGAAACCCCTGGGCAGCCCCGGTCTCTGGCTGGTCACAGACCTGAGGTCAGCTCCTGAGGGGCAGCAGGGAAAATCCGACCAGTTGAACCACGGAGGGGGTTGAAGAGGCAGGACACGAGGGTCCAACTGGCCCCTGGTACCGGCAGGGGGTCCCTACCATCACCCTGGTGATGTCTTCCACCCTGATGTGTTTACTGTCAGAGGTCAGCCCTGGCTGTCCAAAGTTAACAAAGACTCACTCTGTCAGAGGTGCTGTTGGTATATTACCCAGATGACCTGTATAACCTGCACAGAGACCTCTGCTATGTAGATTTTTGTGAGATAAGAAATTGTGCTTGTGCTAACATTTCTCTCGCTCCAAGTCTGACTCATTATTATTATTATTGTTAATGTCTTTCATGGGACAGGGTTTTCTCCTTCATCAAACACACAGATTTTGGTGGCAGTTTATTCTTTTGACCCAATTCCAGTGTTTATTCATTGCTTTTCAAGTGTTACAGCTTCCTCATAAAGCTGGTCGAGTTTACATGACAAATTTTCCATATGTCCTCCCTGAGAAACTGTAGGAGTATCTGCTGGGCTACATGGCTGTTCAACTTTTTGCCGGGATAGCGTGTTTGAAATAGACACAATGGGAATGTGCAGGATGTGACAGAATATGAAGGCGGTAAAGTGGCCTTTGAATGATGAGTAATCCCTTAGTCATCATGGCCTCTTCCAATTTTCTCTTTTATTAACCTTGATGGGAAAAGAGGCATCAAGGGAGAAAGTCTCACAGCACCTTTAGCAAACAGGCTGATCAAAGTGGTTTCCGTCTTTGTACTGTACTTTTTTTTCTTCTTTTTTGGATCCCTGTCCGCTGAGACAACAAGGACACACACAGACACCTACTGTCTCTCTTTCAAGAACATAGGCAGGCATCTTGCACAAAGGGTCCCCTGTGGTGGCTCATTTGAACACTAAAGACCCCTCCAAAACACCACTGAGTCTGTCCAATAAACACTATCAACACTACTGTAGCCACCACGGTACAAATAAAGGAAGTGCAGCTTCTAAAATGTCCATCTTGATGGACATTTTGGCTGCCTGAGCTGCTTTCCAACCCCCTTTTCGTGTTATCTCAACAGTGCAGTTAAGGAGTAGAGAGCTTCATAGTCAGAAGTGCAAAGAGGACTTATTCTTGTGCTGCTTAAATGATGTGATAACATCTGTCAGTGAACTTCTCCACAGTGAGCAGATGTTTTAATCTGCTGTGTATGCACGTGCCCTTCTAAGCCACTGGTAGGAGCTGTGGAGTGATAACAGCACTGTGATTTCCTTTCCTATGGCAACACACTGTATCTTTATAAGCACTAGAGATGGTAAAGTGACTGTCCTTGAGTCAAAACACACGTTTCCATTGTTGGGAATTCCCTTCAGTATCTTTGAATCCTGCAGCGGTTCAATGAAACTTTCATTACTCTGCAGGATGTTTGCCCCCCAGCCACCCCCCTAAAAAAACAAAAAAATCATATTTGTCCATATTACATGTGCTATTTTGAAACGCGCCGTTGCATTTATTGTGCAACCCCATGAAAGAAAAGAAAAGGAAAAAATGCCCGCGTCTTTAAAGTTTATGTAGCAACAGAGGGATTGTAGCGATAATGCCATTGGGGCGGCAGATCAGTTACTTCTGACGCTCCAAAGCCTCGGGGAGTTGGCTCAAGATTGCCTGTCTTTGATAAGGTCCTCACACTGTAGCTACAACTTCGTGGTCTAAGGAAAGCTTGCCAAAAGATGGGGAGGGAAAGGTCAGAAAATAAACCGAGCAGCCTTTAAACAATATTTCGTCACCAGTAACTGCACAAAACTGTGGGGTCTCCACCACTTGTTTCGCTTTTTTCTTTTCTTTTCTTTTTTTTTTGAAGGCACGAGGTTGCAATTGTTTTTATGCAGCTGCCGGGACCCGGCAGTCGGTTCCTCACTTTGAAGTGCGCTGCTCCAGCCTCTCGGTTCAGTTGGTGTTGGAGTCGCCTACAGGAGAGATCTACCGTGCGGCATGGCAGCCTGAAACCATAGGGAGGAGAAAAGGAGGAGGCAGAAAAGCGATATATATTTTTTTCTTCCTCTCTCGAGTGCATTTTTCTCTCTGTAAACCGACTCGAACCTGAACGGACTGTATGTGGACGCGCTGAGGAGACCAGCATTGTGGATTATAAGCGAATTTTTGTATGTGTGTGTATGTATTTGTGGAGGGAGAAGGGAAGAAAAGAAGAAACCCGGAGTTTTAATTCGAGCTGAAGAACTCGTGGATCGATGGTAAGTTGCAAGAGTGTGTGCCTCCTCAAAGTGGCCCCCATTGGAGTTCTCTTTGATGTGCTGTTGACTCGCCTTTGAAGTAATGTTCTGAGGGTTGGGGAGGGGGGATGATTGGTCGCTTTTCTTACTTTTAAAGCCCAAGGAGGAACTGAGTCATCTCTGTGCCGTGTTCACGGAAATTTCCTTTGCGATAATATTTCGTACTTATATTTGTACATATTGAAGTAAGTGGTCGTTTCTATATATGTGTGTGTGTGTGTGTGTGTGTGCGTGTGTGCGTGTGACTTTCTTCCCCTCACAAGATCAGACAGATCAGAGACTTCGGTGCACTTGGAGTGTGGACGTTTATTTATTTATTTTTTAAACCAGGGCTTGTTTCGTCTTTAAACGCAGCGTTAAAGAAATATGTGACAAGTGTGTGGGGGTGTAATGTGCGTTATCATTCTCTTTCTTTCATTTTTCGGTATCCTGTGGGAAGCTTTTGACTTGTAGCTGTGCCACGAGCTCTTTTTTCTAATCTCTTGACATGTTTAACAGTCGAGCGGTGGATCGGTGATACTAAGTGACATGTTCAAGGTTGCACAGCAGCCGCTAATACACTGTAACTACCGCTGATGCTTCGGGGACACGTTGTAGCGATCGTCTGTGCAACAAACTGGGGGATGTTTTAAACAGTTGTGGAGGCTAAAGCTCCACAAGCAGCAGCCTTGCTGCCCGAATTAACTATTTCGGTCACGTTTTTCCATCACTTGGAGTTTGTCCCACATCGGTGGTGTCCTACAGGTACTTGAAGCAGTGGCTCGATTTGGTGTATTTTTTTTTTAAAGATGAGACGTAGAGAAGTGAGAGAGTGCCAGGGATGGTAGGGGTAAAACGATCAAGAAGCGGCGTCCGTGCGTAATGCTTTGGCATTTTATTGGGAGGGAGAGGAGTTGGGGAGGGTACATGTCTTATTAATTGGCGCTCAGGTCTTAACCCACTTTGACGTGCATGTAATTACTACTTCTCGTGATGTTATCGAAAAGGATGGCGGCGATCCAGTACAGACATCGCTTAGGTGGGTGCCCCCCTTCCCCTCTTGTTAAATGTTTTAATTTAACCAACAGCGCCTTCTGTAGAAATCATATCCCTTAGTTGAGATATGAAGAAGTGCTGTTTATGTAATTCTGCTGCAGCTGGATTTTTTTTTCTCTCCCCCCCAAATCTGAACTAGTCTGTCTGTTTCTGTAAAAGTCAGCGAAGGTCTGAAAAGGCTCTTACTGCGTTTCTGCCCCCCTTTGAAGTTGGGGCGGATCTGGTTTTGATTAGATCAATACTTTGTGTTTCAGAGAGAAGCCGGGCAGCCAGAGAGAAGCCCCCCCGCTGACATAAGAGAGTGAGGAGATTACAGTAGAAGCTCAGAGGAGGTGGAACAGCACACACGCGGGCTCTCTCCTTTCTGCCGTCAGAGCCATGAGCCGGGCGCTTATGGACCATATCGCCAGTAGTTTTCGCGAAGATGCGCCTCGACCCCCTGTGCCCGGGGAGGAGGGCGACGCGCCCTGCTACCCCGGCAAACTCCCAGTAATGAAACCCCTGGAGTCCCCCAAATCCGTTCTGCTCGGCTCTCCGGGTTCCTCTGCGAGGAGGAACGAGGATGGTCTCGGAGAGCCAGAGGGGAGTGCCTCCCCGGATTCCCCGCTTTCCCGGTGGACAAAGTCTCTGCACTCTCTCCTCGGGGACCAGGACGGCGCTCTTCTTTTTAGGACATTCCTGGAGCGAGAAAAATGTGTGGACACTTTAGACTTTTGGTTCGCCTGCAATGGATTCAGGCAGATGGACCTCAAGGATACCAAAACGCAGAGAGTCGCCAAAGCAATTTACAAGCGCTACATCGAAAACAACAGCATTGTCGCCAAACAGCTGAAGCCCGCGACGAAAACCTACATACGGGATAATATTAAGAAGCAGCACATAGACTCTGCCATGTTCGACCAGGCGCAGACCGAGATCCAGACCGTCATGGAGGAGAACGCGTACCAGATGTTTCTGACCTCTGACATTTACCTCGAGTTCGTGAGAACTGGGGGAGAGAACCCGAGTCACGTCAACTCGAACGGGCTGGCGGACCTGAAAGTTGTATGTGGATACCTGCCCACGCTCAACGAGGAGGAGGAGTGGAGTTGTGATTTGAAAGCTAAAGCACTTATTGGACTTTCGGCTAAAGCGCAGAGGGCCCCCATTTCCCTGAGGGCAGTGGAGGTGATGGACGGGGGATTCAGGTATGGCGCTTTTACTCTGTTTTCTGGTGCAAAGTGTAAACCTGTTGTTGCACACCAGAGGCAACCGTGCAAGCATTTCTCTCCTGTACAAGTGTTTTTTCTCAACACCACATTAGTTTGCAGAAAACTGGTCAGCCTACCCCCTCCCTGTCTTTCACTCTGGCCCCCTCTCTCACCGTCTCCAGCAGCAGCAGCCCTCTGCTGGCGCTCGCCTGGATTTCCGGGGCTTTGAAATAGTTCCGCAGAGTGAGGGATCGTCTTCCACAGGAAAAGTTCACAGAGCACGCTGGCTCTGGCCCCAGCCAGCAAATAATAGATGATGACATTGCTGTGCTATGCCTTCTCTTGTACCACACTGTCCTCAAGCTTTTGGCAGAGAGATAAATGTATAGCAGAGCTATAGATGGCACTTTGAAGTGGCTGTTTTGTAGTCTCACTCGGGTGCTTGCTAGGCCCTTTTCTCGTTTTTTTCCACGTTGCATTTAAAGGAGGGTGTTTTAGATTAAGACTGCATCCCAAATAAATTGAAGTGATTCATGAGTTTAAAGGACAGCAAAGACAGCAGTGTCAACTCTGGGGCATCCTCTGATGTTCCTGTTGCTAACTTACGGTGACAGGCTGAGCTAAGCTGACAGCTACCTGCTCAGGACAGCAGGGATTGGCAGCTCTCCCTTTTCTCTGCCCTCCCATTGTTGTCACCCTTTCAGATTCAAAACATGTGCTCTTAATTTCTCCCCCTCCCCTTTTTTTCTCCTTTCCTCTCCCCTTACCTCTTCTCATCTGACTCAGATTCTCTTAAAAAAAAACATAACAAACGGCACCAGCTACAGTGCAGAATCAACACCCACCACCACCACCTCCCCGCCAAAAAACCTTCTTCACTCTCTTCTTCCCTCTTTTCTTGTTTGCGTCAATTCTCCTCTGATTCCCTCCTTCGCTGCGTTCCCCCCACCCCAACCCACCCGCCTTCTCTACTTTTATCTTTTTCCTTTGAAAACTCAGGGATAGGGACTACGAGGCATGCTTTTGGAGCGAGAGTGAAGATGGGGAGGAGGAGGTGGGAAGGGGGAAAGGGAGCGAAAGGAAGGAAGGACAGAGGGAAAGGAGGTGGTGGGGTAGGGGTGGTGGTGGGATGCATAAAAGAAAGGGAGGGAGGAGAAAGCATAAATGAGGGGGTGAAAGAGGCAGGGAGGGAAGAATGCAAGGCCAGCTGTGTTAAATACCTGACTCTTTGCGAGCCCCTCTGAAGGTCAGCCCGGAGCTGGGGGCCTACAGCTTTAGTCATGCTGCGTTTCTGCTTCCTCGTGAAGAACCCACCTCTCCCCTTTGTTTCCTTCTCTGACACACTCTCATGCATCCCACTCCATACTTTTTTCCTTTTTTGGGTCATTCCCCCTCCTTTCCTCTCCTCCTGTACCGTGGCAAGAATGCATACACAGCGGGAGATGTATGCCGGGGAAATGGAAAGAGAAGTTATGGGATATTTAAGAAGCAATAAGGAGAAAACTGAAGTTTTCCCAGGCCTCAGACTGCTCTGTCACATCCATTCGTTGTTGTTGGGAGCAGATGAGTGAGGCTATAGTTATAGTTCTCTGAAACATTAGAAGATGCAGCTTGTTTTGATGTCACCTTCTCAAAATGACAGAAACACAGTGAATTTTACCCACCTGTTGGATATTGATTCATATTAATCTGATTTTTGTTGGAAACTTCTCAGGTCATACAAGAGAGGAGACTCACTCAACCCCTGCCATTCAGGCTCTTTCGCTCCTGTCAGCAGCACGAATGACAGCGAGGTTTCCAGTGACGCCTTGACTGATGACGCCATGTCCGTGACTGACAGCAGTGTGTAAGTGAATATTATCCAAACATGCGGTATGTGTGTGTGTGCAAAAATGAGAGCAAATCCCAAAGAGCTTTCTGTTAGAAGCTGTAGCCATACTGGAAGAATAGCTTGCCATTGATGGATTGTGGCACCTTAAAAAACAACCAAAGATGCACTCCAGTATCCAGGACGTGGTCTAGATTAATGCTAAGCTCCACCATAACACACTTTTGACTTTGCCACTGGAGTGTATATGCAGGAAGACTTTGAGTCGATTAGAAGGAATGAGTATAGTAACTTTACATTTTATGCATCTGTGGGCATGAGCAGTGTTTTGATGTCAGCTGATTTGCTTGTTACACTTTCTGATTAGCCTCTTGCTGAGTCTTGCCCTGCTGGGGCTCTCTTTTCCTGCTATTAGGGAGTATTTCTTCTCTACTGTCACCAAGATGCTTGTTGCAGTGAAGAAAATCAAGAGAACCTCATTTTTAAAAGTTGACATTTGTCTAAATTAGCTCTGATTGATCACTTATCGAGGAACTTACAAATCAGTCGCTCATGCTGTACATGTGGTTTGCGCTTATCTGTGTACGTGCCTTGGCGCTCGTTCTTCTAAAGGATTGCTTGGCGTAATCACGTGTCTCTCAAGTGACAAGGTGCTATGAAGTCATTGCGTGGTGCACAGCTCAAGGCCAGATGTGCTTTAGTCAGCTGGCTTTTGGACGCAAAGCAAAAAGAAAAGTTGGTGCAACAAGTTGCTCTTTACCTCGAGTCACCTGGGAGGCAGGCGGGGTTATCGAGGCACGGATGGATGCAGTAACTATGACCAAGCTAATGAAACTCAAAGACTGACACATGGTTGTTCAGCTGAATTAATGGGGCTGGGTTACACATAAGTATGGCAGCTGTAAAGGCTTTTTTTTTTTTTTACAATGGGATGTCCTCTGTTCTGGCATATCACTACACAGCCTTGCTTCAAAGAGACCGAGGCCTATATTGCCCTGTTCCGCTGTACTTTGCCCAGAGCCAGTGACAAAGCCCTGGCCACAGGGGCGCAGCTTCTCCACCTCATTTTCTGCCCGTTCTGGCCTTGATCTGAATATCTGCCTCGCCGCTTTAGGTCAGTTAAAAAAAGACCCATAAACATTTGAATTTCATTTACAGATAAAGAGGAGAAAAAAAGAGAGAAAAGGGAAAACGCAACGGGGGAGGAGGCGGTTGGGTGGGAAGAGAAAGAGAGTAGCGGAGGGGGGATTTTTGCTTATATCTTATTTATGGATTTGCTTGGACGCTGGGGAATGCAGCTGCGCAGACTTCAAACATTACCTTATCTTACAAACCAGCCTTTTGATGTGCGGAGATCAGAGGCTGGCTGCAGCAGCGCTTGCCAAATGAAGATTGGGGAGGGGAGGGAGGGGTGGTTGCTTATGCGCATGACTGTGGCATTTCAAAGCAAAAGTGGAAAAGTGCTTCTCAGTTAGGCTAGGTCACCAGGAAACTGCTGTTTAGCATGGAAGGAAAGAGATTGTTTTACACTGTCAAGTGCTTCAGTTTGAAGCTCTGCTGTTTGTTGTTTGATTCCCTCTTTTTTGTTTTTTGTTTGAGTCAGTCAGCCCTTCATCCCCTCAGACTTAACCAGGTTACCTGCACCCTTGGGTCCTATCCTGCAGTAACTCTTTGAAAAAGCATAATGAGTAGCTAATGCTAACTGTGTCCTCAGCTTACCATAAAAGTCAGGAGGGAGATGCTAATGCTGACGCTACTTTTGGCCCGTAAAGTGGAGCACAGTAACTGCAGTGTGCATTTGTGTGTATGCTGGTGAAAGGAAATGACCAGCAGGGTGCCCAGTGTTGTGCTGGAGCCAGCCCTGAAAATGAGTGTCGTTTCTAGGGCAAATAAAACCTTACTCATTGCAGCGTAACCCGAGCCGCTTGGAGGCGGAAATGCTGTCATAATTTACCTCTGAGTAGCCTTTTTGTTCTCAGATTAAGCCTGAAACATGAAAAGCTAAATGAATTGGAGAATTAATAAATTAGATTTGTTCTTGCCTGAACTGTGTTTGATCTGCCCATTTGGCTAACAAGCTTCTTCCTGAATGTCTGTTTGGTCTTTAATGATGTATCCGATTGGGTAATTGACCTTTGTGGTCTGTCTGCGTACCCCCCTCTCCCCCTCCCCAGAGATGGCATCCCTCCATATAAACTGGGCTCCAAGAAGCAGCTACAGAGGGAGATGCAGCGAAACATGAGGATGAACAGCCAAGTCTCGCTCCCTGCTTTTCCTGTAAGTACACAAACGCACACAGACACACTCACGTGCATACGTACATGCATAACTTCACATACACATGCTCAGAAGTCTCCATACCACCCTGTGTTCGGGTCTCTCTGGGTTCTATGAATAGTATTGCACAAACTGTATTTGGCATCTTCAATTCAACAACGCCAGCAAAGATCTAAAGAGTAACGTCAAAGACCCAGCCTCCCACTCTCTCTCTCGCACACACACATACACACACATTCACATAAGCTCGCATGCAAACACAACCCCGCTCCCTACCTTTGGTGTCACCTGCACCCCCATTAGGGTTCCTTGAAGTCTGCGGGAGACGGGGGGGTCTCTAAGCTGTTTATCGCCGCAGCGCTCGGAACACACCAGGGTTTTTCTTCCCCACCGATGGTGTAAATATGGAGAACAGTGAGAGATGAGGAAGATCTCTGCCGCTTTATCCCGAGGGCTCTGAAATCAGCCCGGTTCCTCAACAAAAACACAAAGATACTCAGACACATTCACACGCACGCACATTCACGCACACGCGGCGCTTTGATCCACGGATGAATGGAACAAACGCACAGGGAAGTGACAACTTCCAGCAGAGCTGGCCCCCTTTTTTTCTCCCCCTTTTTTTCACAGCCCCGCCACCCTTCCAACCCCCAGCACACACACACATACAGAAACACAAATGCTCAGCCAGCCCCCTCCCCTAAAAGTGAAGGATCTAAGGGGAAGAGTTTGAGCATGTCATGTGAGCTCTCAACAGGTCAGAGGGGAGTTTGTAGCTTAAGGCTTAAGAGAAGCTAACTTCATGTTGAGAGAAAAAAAAAGTCCGAATCGAAGGCGGGGGGCACAACTTGCAGTAGTAGCTGTAACAGAAGCAGCTTGTTAAAACAAACTTAAAGTAACTCCCTTTTTTTCCACATTATGAGGTATGCAGTAACTGTTGCTGTTGGATCTCGCCGCTTTCACTCACTCTCCCCCTTTTGCTTTATTTTCTTCTTTTTTGGCTTTTATTCTTGTTTTTGTTTCCCGTCTGATTTTTGGCGATGGCTGCCATTCCCATGGTGCACCAGCTCCAGGCACCATCAGACAGCTCCTCTTTTTCTCACTTTTTTCTCCCCTTTATCCCGACTACAAAGGCTTATGAGAAATTGGGGGGGGGAAATCAAGAAAACCCAAGTGCAAAAATAATTTAAGATGCGTGGGTATGCACCCAATCTCATGCTGTCACTTTACTGTACGTTAAAGATGCCCAGCGTGTGGGGGTGGGGCTAAATTACCTCAACCTTTCTGATCTCCCATCCTGTTTTTCTGGCACCTTTATCTCTTTCCTTCAGTCCTTCCCTCTCTTCGTTTTTCTCCCACACACATCTCAACTTCTCCCAGTTTCTTTTTCTTTTTTTTAATCCCTCATCCTTTTCCTCCCTGGAGTTCTCTTCCACCCCCTGTCGATATGTGGCTTTTATTTCTAGATGTAAAGCCACTGCTTCCCATCAATCTATCCCTCCATCCCCCCCTCAGCCGCTCTATTCTCCCCCCACTGTGTGTTTGATATTTGACGAGGAAGGCTTTGAAGTGAGCTGACTTTAAAGAGGCCTGCTGATGATGACAGAAGGAACCAGCCGAGGCCCTGGCCCAGCATGACCATGCACCAGGCCTGCCAACCCCTGAAAACAGCCCTGTAGCCATAGGTGCCAGTGCGAGTGCCCTGATCAGAACTGCCTTTAGTGGGAAATGCATGCTATAGATGATGTGAAGTGCTATAGTAATGGAGGGATGGCATGAGTCTTGCAGTTTCTTATATATCTTCTTTTTTTATATATCTCCTCTACAGCGTACTCGCCATCCACCCAAAGAGATGATACCAATGGAGCCAGCACAGTTTGCAGCCCAGCTCATCGCCCGCCTGGAGAACCTGAAGAGGCAGCAGGAAACCATGAACACGTTGGAGGAGAGGCTGCAGCAGATTCAGGAGGTTTGTGTGACTCTGGTTCTTACTGAAGAAATGAAAGATGAAGATGTTTTGTTCTGGCCTTGACTTAGTTTGCCTTGTTTTTATCAGGAGGAGGAAAGAGAAGATGCCGAGATCATGGGAAGTGCTCCCGCGCTCTCACCCCACTCCTTACCCCTCCTCTCTGGCTCCTCTGACGAGGACCCCCAGGCCATCCTGGACGAACACCTTTCCCGCGTCCTGAAGACCCCCGGGTGCCAGTCCCCGGCCGTGATCCGGCATTCCCCTCGATCCAGCTCGCCAGAACACCGGCCTTTCACATGCGCTGGCTTCAGTGTCAAGGGCCTGGTGAGAACCGGGCCCTCCAGTTCGTCTGCATCCAGTCCCGACCAAGGGGCGATTACCCTGTCCCTGGGTCCCAACAGAACCCTCGTAAGCAGGCAGAGCACGAAACACATCCACCATCACTACATCCACCATCACGCTGGTCCGAAGTCTAAAGAGCAGATCGAAAGGGAGGCAGCCCTCAGGGTGCACAGCGTGTGCTCCGGCAGCAGCGAGTGCCAGCCCTGTCAGCCGTACCAGCGCAGCCGCAGCCTAGGCAGAGAGATGTGTGGGGCCATCACCACAGACAACAGCATGGGGTCAGTCCCAAGCACTTGTTTCATATTTGTCTCCCATTTGTTTTTTCTTTTCTGTCAGTGTTTAAAATAAGCAGTGCAATTACTCTTCCAGGCGTTCAAGCTCTCTATCGAGGCGGGTGTGTCGCTCAGGGGCTGAGGATGGAGTAGCGGAGAGGTGCATGGAGGACTGTGGACCCTTACAGCTGCCCACTGACACAGCAGATCCCACCCAGAATGTGCTGCAGTGGATCCTGGAAAGTAAACGACAGGGCAGACACAAGTCTCACAGGTGAGTGGAGGATAATACTAGGAGTATCTGTGTGAGTGTTGGGGACACCTTTTCATGTTGTTAAAGTCAAATTTCCTCGTCTCCCTCTCAGTACCCAGAGCACCAAGAAATCCTTTGGAGGCTCATCTACTCAGACACACACGTGGGGCGGGGGTGGAAGCTGCGGCCACCTACGTGGTCACCAGCCGGCCCAGCCATTCATCCAAGACCCAGCTATGCCTCCGCTCCCTCCTCCCAACACTTTGGCGCAGCTGGAGGAGGCCTGCCGCAGACTGGAGGAGGTATCCACCAAGCCCACCAAGCAAAGGTACACACAGACTTCAAAGAGCAGATTATTATTAAGTAACGCTCTTGGTTATAACTTCAAACTATTCCAGATGTGCTTTTTAAACTCAAGTCTTATTTCATTTCTCTTCCCAGGCATTCAGCGTCCAGCCTTCAGCGAGAGAAGACCCACCTCATGCCTGTTCAGGACGGGGCGTCTGTCCCCCTGCCGCTCGTCAGTCCCAGCCCCGCTGGCGTCCCCGCGACCAGTCTCCAATCAGAAGAGTACGATGCCTCTACAGTCCTGCCCTCCCTCTCCTCTCCTCCTTTCTGCTCTTCTTCCTCCTCCTCTCAGCTCTAGCCTCCAACTTCCAAGTGTACTTTGACCCTTTTTAACTCTTCCCACTTGTCACCCGCACCATTTGCTTGCACACAGATAGATGAGAAGCAGCTATGCTACACACACATTACACCCCACAGACACTCACTTATTTAAAGCTTTGTACACCTAGCACTGCCTCTTACGTCTGCATGAATCGCGTGCATTTGTGCTGTGCATGGAGAGCGTGTGTCTGTGCGTGTGTGCAGTCACTGCACCACCTGACCGAGACATCCCTTTTCATATATCTGTATCATTTTTATTGGCTGTCCTTCAGTGAGCTGGCACTAGGTTGGGGCGAGCAGAGCTTAGCAAAGGGAGGGTTCCTCTGAAGCGGGCCTACAAAGCCTTGGACGTAGCTGAAGGGGAATTGATAATCGTGCACACACAAGCGCAAACTTATAGACGGCACTGGGTCACTCCGTCCCTCAGGATGCTCTTAGTTACTGTATTTCTGGTCTGTTGTGGGAAAAATTTAGTAGATTGCTTGTTGGAGAACTTCTTATTTCTCTTTTGTCGAGATGTTGTCTGGTATAGCGAAAGCGCTCGCTGCTTCTGACACCCTTCCTCTCTGTCTTTTGTTTCCCGGCAGGTGTAAGAAGGGTTCAGGAAGCCACGCGGTGAGCAGCGGGGAGACAGTGGTGACGTACTTCTTCTGCGGTGAGGAGATTCCTTATCGGAGGACCATGAAGAGCCACAGTCTGACATTGGGTCACTTCAAAGAGCAGCTCCGCAAGAAGGGCAACTACAGGTGTGTGCAGGCACATTGAAATATACAGATCAGTTTTAAAGTTTTACAGTAGTGATGCAGCTTTAGTGACATAAATACAGTTAACTTTTTATGAACTGGGATTAGTTCATTGGCCTTGATTTAAAACAGTCTTTGTGCTGACTTGTAGACAAAGTTTACAGTGGGATCATTTGATTTCTAAGGTGTGGGAGTATCTTCATGTCCAACATTCCTGAGGGCATTTTAGACACAGTGACCAATCAGAATGATGGAGACATAAACCCTACTACCTTCTGTAGTGGTAAAATTCTGCCTTTGAATGGCGGTCAGCACCTGCAAGCATAAAAACCTGAAATACTGTCTCCGTGACTACGTCAAGGACCGATATCAGCATTTGTTTCCATCGGTGTCTGCACTCAGGCAGGCCTCTGGACAAGTGTGCGTTTGGTGTGAGGGGTGCAGTGAAAAGGAAGGGACAAGAGGAGGGAGGGAGGGTGGTGCAGGGGTTAGTGGGAGAGTTTGAACTGGAGCGATTTTTGGGTCCCATCTGGTATTGATTTCCATGCTAAGGCACACTTAATACACATGGCTTTGAAGCCCCAGCCCCTTTCATTTCAACCAACAAAGACTCACACAAATGGCCAGCGTGCAAATTCTTCACTGATGCTATCAGGGCCTCTTTTTTTCCTGCTCTGGGGTCTTGTGTGCGTGCATGCGTGTACCCGCGCGCGCATTAATGTGCTTTGCGTTGAACGCGCACAGTGTTTACACATGTTGTAATCATTTTATGGATATTTTTGAAAGGCATACAGTTAAATGCCAGATCCGCTTGTTTGCTCTGCTACGGGGCCTTCACCGAGGCCGCTCGGCCTCGACGTGTGTTTGTGGAGAGAGATTTAATTTGATTGTTTCTTTCCAGTGGGCATTAAAGGGGGAAAAAGATCAAACATTTATTGTTTAGACTGCCACGGTCTCCAAGATAAGCACGGCCCAAGTATTGTGTTAATAATTACAGGTATCAAACTGGTGATGGGGGGAGAGAAGAAAAAGCAAAAGAACTTAGCAAAACCTCTTCCTGTCCAGATGTCCACAACATTTTCAGATCAACAAACGTGACAAGCACTTAGCGCCGAGTTCTCCACATCTGTCTGTTTGCCCCCACCCTTCCTTACACCCCTTACTTACTCTTCTTTTCTCTCTGGCTCACAGTCTCAGTTCTTCTGTCATACCATCCACATTTTTTGGAAAGAGAGCTGCACGGCGCTTTAATAGCAGCCAGAGAATGTGTGGAGTTGGGTCATTTCAACATGGCAGCGGTTCAACAAAGAACAGTACTGCTCGGTCCTGCCAGACGATATTGGTGCCAGATGTCAGTGCAAACGGAGGGAGAAGGGGAGGGGAGGCAGATCCAGCCACATAAAACATGTTCCAGTGGAAATTCAGGCTCTCTGTGTCTCTGTCTGTCTCTCTTAGCAAGAAAAAAAAAGAGGGCGATCATAGCTCTTTGAAGATTTTGGGGTTTTTTTTAAAAGTAGGAGGGTTCGACTTTTCTTTCTTTCTCTCCAAGGAGGGAACAGTTATCAGGCGTGTCCTTCGCTCTTTGATTTCATCTGATCGGCGCGCTTTTTCCTAAAAGGAGGTCGCTTTATTTCACACCCTGTGTTGTTGCCCTTTATTAGTGATTACCCTCGTGTTAATTAGCACACGTGCATGCTTGTGCACCTCTGCAATGCTGCAGTTCTGGTTTTATAAGTGTTGCATGTCTTAAAAACAAAGAACAACCACAAAAAATGCTCGCAAACATGCCCGCATTCCAGTCACCACACACCGAGCAGATCGAGGAATTTTTCCATTACATAGTTAATGAGTGAATTTCGAGTCCCGGTTAACCAACCCACCCCTGCTGATTTCTCTTCCTCTAAAATAAGGACTGGGAGGGGGGGGGTTACATCATTATGGCCCAGTGAAGTCATGGCTGACGAGAAGCCCCTCCTGAGTTTGCTTCTTCTGCACACATACACAAAAGTCAGCTGCCCTTCCTATAGGTCTCAGTAAGCGCTCACACTGTCAACATGGGCGAGGAAGGACACACGGCATACTGCTTGCTCGTTCTCCTCCTCCTCCTCCCCCTCTACTTTGTCTCTTTTCTTTGTCCCTGTAATAATGAACCGGGGATGAGGAGTGAGTGAAAGCCCTGTGCACGAGCGGGTGTGTAGGAGTCAGGGGTAATGACAGGCAGACTTGCAGGCACCCAAAATTTCAGCCTTTGTCAAAGGACCCCTTCATTTGCACACGGGTCTAATTGGCCCCTGTTAGCCAGGGCAAAACTCACAGCAACACAGGGGGGGAGAGAGAGAAGGAACGGGAGAAAAAGTAAAAGAGAACAAGTGGAGGGAGGGATGTGGAGAGAGGAAGCCTGCTGTTTAAAACCAAGTCTTGTCAGCAGCAGGTTCCACCCTGCCCTGGTATCAGCAGACTTGGCTGATTGTGTACTCAGTGGCTCGGCTGCAGATAGCGGAAATGAAACTTTATGTTTCAAAGGGGAGCGTTAGACTTATCAGGCTTTCTTTTTCTTTCTTATTTTTCTTTGGACTTTTTGTTTATGAGCTTTAAAGTATCTTGAATCAAAGAGAGAAGTATTTTGTGTTAACGCTTTCGTCTCTCGGTCACAGGTACTACTTCAAGAAGGCCAGCGACGAGTTCGAGTGCGGCGCCGTGTTCGAGGAGGTGTCCGACGACTGCTCCCTGCTCCCCACCTACGAGGGGAAGATCTTGGGAAAGGTGGAGAGGATGGAGTGAGCGCTGCCGGAGTTGATCAATAACTCTGCGGATGAGCCTCCTTCATGTGCTCTCACACATGTACGCAGCGTGTGTGTGTGTGTGTGTTTTTTTTAAGCTAAGACTTGAAGGACTGGAGATGTTGTTGAAGGAACGCTGGTTTTTGGGCATGCGGACTGGAAGCGCGGGACAAGATATCCACATTACCGGACTATCAAGTGAAAAGCTCATCTAGAAGTGAAGAAAACGTGGACTTTATGCTGCTGGGCTCAAAACTTCCCAGAAGAGGAATATCTAGAGACTCTAGGTGAATGACCACTTGTCAAAGAAGCAGGGCGCTGTGGGTTTAATTTGAAACTGAGAGCCTACTTGAACCCTCCCCGTGCCAGTGTCTGCCTATAGTTGCTCACTAGCGCATTACTAATATGTATACGCAGATATACATGTACATTGCATTGTATTGTGATGCTCGTATTGCTGTGTAAAGATTTCTATAGCTATTTATTGGAAATACCCCTTTCCCAAATCCTATCCATCTTCTACTTCCATGGACAAGCTGCTTGGAGTTGGACAAACTTCTCGAATTATCCACATCTGTGAACGCCCCACCCTACTCCACCCAACCCTCTCCTTCTGAGCATCAGTTCTCAAGCAAAGGTTTTTATTCCTTTTCAGCCCCTCATATTGAACTGTAAACATCAACAATACCTCTTCAAGAACTCCACTCCCACTCCGGGACATCTCCGCTCTCCTGGCCGGAGAGCTAACTGCTGAAGCTTTGAGAATGGCTCTCTTATCACTTAAAAGTTCGATAATATATTTACTACTGCAGTGCTATTTGTGGATGTGTCCCCGTCTGCTCTTAGGGGTGGGGGGGGTCTTCAGTGTGCTATGGAATTTAAAACAAAAAAGAAAAAAATGCTATTAATGTTTAATTCCATACTCTGGGACTGTGCCCAGCTAGCCTTGATCTGTCACGTCTTAGTGCCTTTGTTTCAGCGGCGCAGGCATCGCACAAATAGCCTATATATTTACGAGGAGGAAACTGCCCTGAACAGGTCTTTGAGTCCCCAAAATGTGTTTACACCATATTCATATTTACCAAGAAAAAGTTCTATAATGTGTTCCCCTATGTGCTTACCTGTTAGTGAGTGAGTGTGTGTGTGTGTGTGCGTGACTGAGAGTATTTTAAGCCTGCACTATGAGCTGCAGATGCTAATGATGGTGGTGATATATATCTATATATATATATATATATACACTATGTTCATAGTGTCTTTATTTGAGTACAGTAGCTGTGCCTACATGGATTCTTGCCATGTTTTTCACCCAGTTTTCAGGGTCCTGTTACTCCCTTGGTTTTTACAAGGGGCCTTATGTTGAAAAGATATTTTTATGCCTTTTAGTATCATCATGTTTATGTTTTATGGTATTTTTCATGGCTTCCTTGGTTCTTCTTGTAAACTGTAAATTATGCGTTCTATAGAGCTCAGTTGAAAAGATGCCTCGGTACTTTAATTATTGTAATTATGAAGAGATGTAGCCTTTAATAAAATGTTCTATTTTTCAAATTAGCAAATTGCTTCCTCTTGTTTCTGTGTGTGTGTGAGTGTGTGAGGGAAAGAGAGTTTTGATTGGACTTTGCTAGCTCTAATTGGGATATTAGGATGGTGGCGTGTCTGTGTGTGCTTGTGTTTAGAAGCAGCTTCACCACACACACACACCCCTGCTGCGCAGAGTAAAACTCATTGGATCCAGTGAGAAATTTGCATCCATTATCAGCTCTTAATGTACTCCCTGTTGGAAATGAAAACATGCAGCATTAATTTGGCCACTAGAGCCTCCGTGTGTTTTAGGGGAAGAAGCAGACAGAGACCGGGAGAGCTAAGTGTGTGTTAATGAGACATTTGGCAAATATATGTTATAAGTACATTTTAGCCAGTTATTTACATGGTAAAATGTTTGGCCTCCTGTGGCACTTTATGAACTGCGTGTGAGGGTATAACGTGCACTTTTGCTCAGTCCCAATTAGGGCAGAGGGATGAGAACTCTCAAACATAATGCTGTTTGACATTAACAGAGAATCCCAAGATCGTCTGATGGGCTACATCAACTTTGTGTCTCTGAACTGAACGGTAAAAAATAATCTTATTTACTGGAAAAAGGTATGTTTGGTTAAGTGAGTCCAGGAGACGGGACACGTGATGTCCGCTCGCTCGCTGTGGATTCAGCGGCACGATCAGATATTATATGGACTTTGCACTGCAGCGGTGGGGCATTAAAGACTGCAAAGAGTGGGATATGACTGTGCCGTGCACGTGTCAAACCTTTTTTCCCCTGATAGATTCTCATAGCCTGGTTTTACGCCCCCGTGATTCCCCGTCTAACTCCAGACTACTGTGCATATGCAGTGTTTTTAAGAAGTTTTTCAGCACCATCATTTTCTAAACAATTAGCAACTATGGGTGAACACAGTTGATGCAACAGTGAGTAGGAGTGGTGAAGCTAATTCAGCATATGTTTGTGGGTTTTTTTTTTTTTTTTACATTAAAAATGAGGTAAACACAGGTGTTGCTAATGACATTAATGAAGGTTTTGTTTAATATAGCCTTAATCTAAGTGATTAGTACCACCTGTGTTTACTGTTTCATGTGAAAGAGGTCTGTCGGAGGCTCTGGCTACACGCAGTCATGGTTAAAAAAAAAAAAAGGATTCTTATTTCAGTTTGAAGGTTTTAGGTATGAGTGTCAGGGTCCTGGGACTAGGCGACCCAGGATCCCTGGGCAGTCATGGACCTGTGTATTATTATTATTATGTATTTTTGGTGTAGTTTCCCCTTCTCTGTGCGTGTACATATGTGTTTCTCTGTGCTGTGTTAGTCTGTGTCCCACTCATATGTTTAGGCGAGGTATGGGTGTGTATGTCTGCGGGTGTGCCTGGAGGATGGAGCTCGGCCACCTGCAGGCCTGAGGGGTGTGGCCCTGCGGAGGGACTGGCCACACCCGAAGGCCACACTCCTGCCGCTGATCAGGGCTCGTCGGGGGAGCTACTTAGGAGAGTCTTGGAGCTCCCACCGACGCGGGATCATTGAGTTATCTTACCAAGAGGAGGAGTGGTCTGGAGAGGCAGCACGCACGGGGGTGCGGAAACACAACAGCGGGGAGCACGAGCACAGATATCGGAGGGAAGCACGCACACGGGGTTCGAGGGAGCAACGGGGAGTTATTGTATTTACAGCCTTTTCACTATAAATAAAGAGCACTGTTTGCATGGCAGAGTCTGCGTTTTGGGTCCTCCTTTCCCCACATCCCCACGGTCTGCCAGCCAGACCGTGACAATGAGGACATAAAAATTCTCAGGAAGTTTTAAAATGAGGTAAATACAGCTTCAAATGACATTACTTGCTACATCGTGTCATTATTTGTTTAACAATAACTAAGCTAAATGGCAATTCAGTAGCTTGTACAACCACCATTAGCGACTATAACTTGGAGTAGTCTCTCACATTGTTGTGGAGGGATTTTTGACCACTCTTCTTTACAGTGTTGCTTCAGTTCATCGAGGTTTGAAGACATTCGTTTACACGCAGCTCTCTGAAGGTCCCACCAAAGCATTGCAGTCAGGCTTGAGGTGTGTGCTTTGATGGGTTCATTTCAACACCTTAATTCTTTTCTTTTTCAGACATTCTGTTGTAGGATTGCTGCTGTGCTTGGGATCATTGTTGCATCACCAAATTTCTGCCAATCTGTTGCTGTCTGATGGCCTCACACAGAAAGATCCCAGCCAGATGGTAGATTCAAACTCAGGACTCAAACACAACTCTTCATGCTGTGAGGCACGCTGCCCCATATTTGTTTAGCCTTTTTCTAATTGTTCTGTCTTTAACTTTAATGTTTAACATGCTAACTGAGGCCTGTGGAGTCTGAGATGGAGCCCTCTCTCTGAGCATTTCACGACTTTACTTGGACGTCCATCCCTGGGAAGACTGGCAGCTGTAAATGATCTTCTGCTTAGACCGATGGGCAGCAATTGCCTCTCTAAGAGCAATGCCGATGACAGTTAAGTGTGCGTTAACACCAGACCACCAGACTTAGCTGCACACACTTTCTGATGATCAATTAATCAATAAAGTGCATTTGATTTCCTTCTACCATGACTGTGCGCAATACTTGTTAGAAACTCCTTTTCAGATTTTTCATTGCACTTATGGGACGTCTTAAATTAACACTGTCCATCTTTTGCAAAACTGTTCCTCAGTGCGCATCAGGTGAAACCTCCGGCTGCGTATGTTGATGTAATTAACTCAAACTAGCATGCAGGCAGCATTTAAATAGCTAACATCTTATGCTATAGCCTCACCTGCACACCGATGCCCCCCCCCGATGCTATTTTACCCGTCATGTCCTTCTGTCACACTCGCGTCCTTCAAGTTTCATTGCTTAAGAGTGTTGCTTATGCTGCCTTTCATATTGAAAGGGCATCATGATATTGTTAAAATACCATTTTCAGCCCTTTCATCAGCAAAGGTCAGTGCATACACTTGAAGGCCATCTTTTAGAATCTTTAGAACTAAGAGGCCCTCACAGAGCGGCGCTCCACTGTCAGAAGGCCTTGTGAACCCACCTTTGTATGGGGAGCTATTTTAGATGGGGTCATCTTTTTGAAGGATTCATGGGGTTGGGAAGACTCTAGACTGCTATTCATGAATGTAGGAAGGCTTTTTAAACATGAGTGAGTGATGCATTTTGGGGTTGTTTTTTTTCACCGTCAGCTTTTATATCTCTTTTAGCTTATCATCAATTAGTGCCATAGAGATCCTGAAACCAAGCAGTGATCCTTTGTGCTGGTTCAGAGTTATTGGCATTAAAGATTGTGCGTTCATGTGTTGTGGCTAAAATGGGTTTCTAATGGGAGAATGCACATAAACACTACTTCAAGTCTGAACAACAGCTTAGAGAGTTTAGAAAGCCTCGCTTGGTCTGTTGATATCCATGATGGAGAAAAGTGTACTTTTTCTCTTTCTAATCAAATTTCTAATGTTTTAAAAGGACAAGAAAAACACTGCAGCTGAAAGACCAGGAAAGGAAGGATTCAGGAAATGTGACCATCTGAGGAGGACAGGAATGCACAATGAGGGATGGGCACAACGCACGGGCACGTAGCGTATCACAGGGGATGCCACATCTGTGATGCCTCACAACATCCCGGCTGAAAGACTAGCATATTGCGCCCCCTTCTTCCAAGGCTATTGCTCATTTACAGTCTCATCTTTGGTAGGTTACCCCCTGATACATCCTTCCTAATGACAGGTTGACTGGTTGGTGCCCAGCGTTTAGTCTGCTTTACAGGGAAAAATTTATGGCTGTAAAACCACATTTGACACAGTGATCATCCTGCGAGCCATGCTGTGTCATGTGATAGTTGACAGGAAAATGCATGCATGTGAG